GGAGGAGTGCCCAGAATGAGGTATCGTCTGTAATGCGAGGCCTTGGCCACATAAGCTTAGGCGTTTAGAAAGAGGAACTTAGAAGTTTCACTTTTATTTCTTTAAAGCTGCATCTGATTGGCATCTGGCATTGTCCAGTGGTTTTCTTCAGTGCAAGCAAAAGGCTGTCAACCTATTGAGGTAGAAGAGCTAAAGTGCGTCACTCTCACTTTACAACATTCGAACTAGAGGTGATTGGCGTTTGGCTCTGGCTGCTTATTTTCTTAATTGCGTGCAAGAGACACTTTTTGGTAAGACAATCATTCTTAATCCTGGCCATTGGTATAGAGAAGTCGAGGTAGAACCATAGAAACGCTATACTCGGCTTTTTTCGAGCCGACATGGCTGACATTAAGCCATGGCTGGTGGCTTGCGAAAGGCAGTTCTTTATTAATATATTCATCTTTTAATCCCCTCGATGACAACTCGCTGTCTTTATCATCGAGCTGTACACGACAATGTTGGTAGGTCAGAACACAATCGGAATAAATGCTGCTAATGAGACCTGAGAAAGTGTGGAGATGTGGTCAATCGGATGTGAGTAGAAAAAGCCGAATTATAGCTGAAGTGGAAATGCTTAATGAAAGAAGAGGATCTCTAAGTCAGCACAATTGTAACTGCCTTGATAGCAGTGGCAGTTATTAGGGAGATAGCTGTGATAAAACGAGAAGATGTCGACTTCCATGTGCAAAGGCATCCAGAGACAAATAGCCCTCATGCCCTATATGCGCTGAGTCAGTTTTAAATAGACGTGGGAATGAAAGGGTCGAGAGCTGCACAACGGGATTGCCGAATGCATGATTGGTTGTAGACACAAGGAAGAATGAAGCAATGTGGAGTTTCGATAAGATTGGCGGATGCTGTGTATGTCGCTAGCAACACGAGAGCAATTTAGACGTACAGCTAATTTATGATTTTATGTTTAAAGAATTAACTTATTAATCAATTCTGCTATATTAAAAGAA